CACTGCTTCATCAACCGCTACATGCGCATCAACCAGGCCGACGCCCTGCTCCGCTTCGTCGCCTCCGCGGAGCACTCGGCCGCCCCGGTTCTCATCCTCGGCGACATGAACGGCGACGCCGAGTCGCCGGTCTGCAAGCGCATCGTCGCCGCCGGTTTTGAGAACTGCTTCGCCTCCGTCAACGGCCCCGGCGCCCACCCGCGCACCCACCTCAACCACATGAAGCAGCAGGTTTCCGTAGACCACGTCTTCCTGCGCCCCCCGTCTTCCCCCGCCCCGCTCACCCTGTCGCGCAGAAGACGGCGCCTTGCAGACCCCAACGACACCCACCCCATGTCCGTGGAGCAGCACCAACATGACAACCACCCCGCGCCCGCAGAGAGAACCTCCTCCCCGGTCACCATCCGTGATGCCGTCGCCCCGGTACCGGACAAGGGCCTCGCCCACCCGTACATGCGCCCTGTACGCACCGTCGTCTACCCGGAGCGCTTTCCCACCAACGTCTGGCCGCTCGAGTACCAGGTCAGCGACCACCGCCCCGTCGGCGTCCAGTTTTTGGCCATGGCCTAGAAAAGGGCACGCCGCACTTCTGCTTTCGCGTTTTCGGCCTACACGCACCGGGACTGGCGTTGCCTTGAATCAACGTTAGCCTCGTTGGCGTCCGCGGGGGGGGAGGGGGAGAGGGAGAAACGGGTTTTGAGTCGCCCCAACTTCCGCTCGCAACGTGTAGGCTCGCTTCCCGATCGGCCCTCCTCTCTCGCGTCGTTTTTTCAAAGCTGGACCGACCCTCCAGTGGCTTATATTTGTTAGACTCACTTTATTCAAGGCCTCGATCCACGCCCGTTGCGATGCCCCATCGGTCGCACCATGCTCGTAATGTCAAAACAACACATTACACGGACTCGAACCGTCCTTTATATATCCCAACAGTTATATACGAAGAACCACATAACTGGGCTGGTAGAGCCAGCAGCTCACTAGCTCGTCTCTTAACCAAGTAAAGTCCTCACTCACATTGTTTCATACACCGTCCATCGCTTCTTACATCCGCTCCAACCTTGTTTCAACAGCGCGCGCATCTCTTTCGCCCGCTCCCCGATCCCCCCCGGCAAGCCCTCCGTCGCCCGTACGCGTGCTATCACGCCACGCGGAAGCGCGCACCGCGACTCCATGTATACCGCGAACAAGTCCCGACTGACGTGCCAGTGCTCACCTTCCCGAAAGCACTTTCCCGGCACCCCAACCTGCAGCCGCCCGTCCTCCGCGCGAAACAGGTCCCCGCCAGCTACCGGCGCACATCCCGCCAGATAGGTCAACATGAAGATCTCCACAAGCCTCTGGCAATCCCCCTCCACGCTCGCGTCCCCCTTGACGCCGCACTGCGCCGACGTGGGGAGCGCCGCCTCCCACTCGTACGGCTCGGGCGCTGGCATACGCAGCACGTGAGCCTGCCTTGCGGGCGGGAGAAGAACGACGGCAGGGAGGACGGTGCGCGCCGGGACATAGGAGGACGATCGGAAGCCTATCGCACGGAGGAGAGCGCGGGAAAGGGGACGCGGCGCAAGGGCGGGAGGGAGGGGGAGGGGAAGGAAGACGGGAAGGACCTGGGGGGAAGTTAGGTTAGTGAGGTGGAGAAAGGCAGCGATTCGGGCGAGGCTGGGGACGGGGGTGTGTGGGGCGGGGTGGGCCGGGGGGTGGACGTGCAGTTGTATGGGAAGGGGGTTAGGGAGCTTGGGGAGGGTTAACATGGCGGTGAAGCGGAGGGGGTCGGTGGTTGCGCGGAGAGAAGTGAGGGAAGTAGGGGACAAGGAGGAGGGATCATGGAGGTTGGTCGGGGCGGGTGGGGCACGGAGGGAGAGCTGGCGCGATAGAGGGGAGGGGAGGAGGAGGAAGAGCAGGAGGAGGGCGATGATAATTGGGATGAGGAAGAATGCGTGGGGGAGCCGGGGGAGGGTGCGCAGGCGGTGCAAGAGAAGCGAGCGCCGGCGGGGTGGTAGAGCCGACGAGGAAGACGAAGACGTGCGGGGCGCCGATGAGCGACGGTGGCGAGCGGTAGAGTGCATCGCGCTGGGGCTGCAGGGGGATTTTTAGAGGGGCGAAAGGCGCGAGGCTACCCTGCTTCCGTACTTCTGTGCCCAGCCGTTGCGGGTGGAGTTCAGGCGAGGACGAGAAGGACCGAGGGGATCGTGGCTCGAGTTGACGCGAGTGCCGACCGATAGCGACGATGACGGATGCGCGGCGTGCTCTTTTTGCACTTGCCTTCATCCGATATAGTAAATTTCTCTGTTCCCGACATCATCTAGTTCCGAGCTGTCTCCCCCTCTACATGTCCACCTTTTGCGATGCAACCCGACTCAAGACGGGCTTATCCAGCCCGTATCGTGTCCGACGTATAATCTACTACGGTTCCGGCTCTACCCGACATCAGCGCGGCGCGACTCTTCCCCACCCCCTCTACCCGCATCACAACTCACGCCTCATCAAGCTATCAACTACGGCACCAACCAGCCCTCGCTCTTTTTCCCCGCACAAAGCACTGGCCGCGACGAGACACCCGTCCCCGTCTGGCAGAATCGCCGCCGTCCCCAAACAGCTAGCCACCAGTTCCTTCCCTACGGGCCTCCCGTACGCGCGCTTTCCCGCCAGGTCCTGCGCCACGGCCATCCGTTGCGCAAATTCCATCCGCTGCAACTCCGCCCCGAGCATGCTTACACTTTCCATACCGTCCTTGTTGCTCATGTCGATGCCATCACACACCACTGCATTCGCGCATGCACGCAGGAGTTTGTAATCGTGCGTGAGACAGCTCAGGCGGATCGCCACCGGGCTGGGGACTAGCTCGATTAGTGACGCGCGCATTATTTCGAGATCAAGCCGTTTCAGGCAGCCGTCCACGAAGATTTTCTGTGTAGCTTCGTCCAGCTTTACTCCAGCTGTGCAAATAGTCTGCAGTGTCACCCTTACTTGCGAGACAAAGCTTTCAGTTGGGCCATCGGTTGCCGCAAGAGCGTCAATAACAATTGCCAGCGTTGCGCTCGCAGAACAACCGCCAACCACATGCTCCAGTACTTTCCCAAGCTCAGCGCTTTGATACATGGTCATACCAAGCAACGCCTCCCGCGCTTCTCTTCTTTCGTCAGCCTTGATTGTTTCCTGAATCGCAGACATAACCCTGGTGCATTCGCTACCTCCAAACCACCTCATTCTAGCATGGTTTGTCGCAAAACTGCTGTCCTGCATCTGGGCAAGCGCACGCAGAGCTGCTGCCCGTTCTGCTGGTACACTTGATGATGACTCCAGGATGTCTTCTACCAATCCTAACCACGGGAGAGCCGGAGAAAGTGCTCCAGCCGTTTGCAGCACATCGATAGCAACTGCGCGTGTCTCCCTCAAAGAATCAGCGGTATTCTCAAAGGTTGCCGCCTCGCTCGACGTAAACGCGCATCGCGCGCAAAACCCTCGAATCGCACCAGTTGGCAATGTGCTCACTGCGCGAATGAACTGCGCCGTTGGTCGATCCTCTTCCGCTGCTTCAAGATTCGGGACACCGACTTGAGACTGGGCCGTCTGCGCCTTGCGCCGAGAGCGTCGAAGCGCTTCTGACGCGGCGCGGAGCTTTGCGATTCGTTTAGGATCAAAGCTGCTTCGCTGGCGGTTGTCCCACTCGTGCTTTGCCATGCCCTCGAGTAATTTTCGCATTCCTGGCATTCCATGGCTGTGATGGCGCATGGCGCTGCCTGTCGTCGACAACACATTGATAATGAATTGCTGGCATTCAGCAGAGATACTCTCCAGGCGTTTGCTCTCGTCATTGGCATCGTCCAGTGGTTCTACACCAGCATGTGCCATGCGCAAGATTTCATCCGTCGTGTACTCAGCAAGCGCTGATGCGGCCACGTCAATTTGTCTCCAGTTGAGTGCGACTCCCTCCGAGTTGTCTCCACTGGGGACACCATCCACAAGGCAGCCTTTTAAAATATCGATCGCCTTTCCCGCGATTACCGCGCCCTTCTTTGTCTCTGAACGGCTGGATACGCATCCAAGCAACCTCAAATAGCTGCGCCGTGCCACAATTGCAACTTCAAACGTATTTGGAAATGTCTTGAGGATAACCTTGACTGCTTTAGTGGCATCCAGGACTTCATTCTCAGCCATTACACGAATGCTATCAAAGCAAAAAGCCGCAGCCAATGGTGCAGCTTGCATCGTTTCCTTCGTCGTACATCGCATGATGAATGGAACGAAACTGGCCCCCCGGGTCGGACGGATTGTGGTAATCTCGAGAACAGCCGCGCAAGCAGCACATTTCGTTGTGGGATGCAGCGCTTCAAAAGAGCTCTTCAGGTTCTCCACTTCTGCAAGCAACACAGAACTAGCAATCCCTGGTGCGCTCTTGGAAGCCGCAGCTATTGCTAGTAAGCCTGTGTGATACGTAGCCGTGGCATTCATCCCTTTACCTGGGTGAGCGAGCTGAATCATAGTTTTCATAACCACTTTGCTCGTTTGCTTCTGTGCGAGGAGGCATCGGGGGAGCAAAATGTCGCGCAGAAACATGGTCACAATAACACCGCTGCTCTCCTTTTGCATTTGAGTGACAACAGCCGGCAGGAAAAACAGTCTTGAAGGACTGCTTCCAATCTGCGATATTGCACGGCACGCTGCGTACCGTACTTGCGCATGGCTGTGCGAGAGGGTGCCGATTAAAATGCTTGCAAGTGCGACCAGCGACGATTTTTCTTCTGGGGAATTGCATGGGGGAGGCATCTCATGTCGCAACGCATCCTCTAACGAATCCCTGTTTAGAGAGTTGCCTATTTCCCTATCCGCCAGCACAAAACTCGGAGCCTCTGCTTTATCCCGAAACACGCTACGAGAGAGCAAGTCCGAAAAAAAGTCGTCAGTATAACGCTTGACGCCTTCCGCGTCCCCCCACGTGCGGAGCATCTTCCGTAACACACCCAAGCTTAGCATGGCATTCCCGCGCCTCCAATGCATTGCCTCCTCGCACACCAGTTGTAGACCTTGCTCGAGCTTATCGTTAGAAGAAGCACTTGTGCTCTTCGACGCGGTCTGAAATACCTGGCACACCGCCGCGGCGTCCCTCGCCACATCAGCAGCGCCTGCCGCCGCGCACATCGACGCCACCGACACACAGACCGAGGCCACGAGCGCGGCGACCAACGGGTGAACGCACCCAACAGCCGCGTCCCCCTCCATGAACAGCGCGCGCATCATCGCCAATAAACCATGGCACTCCGAAACGCGTCCAGTGCACGCGTTCATCCCCGCGACCGACACGAGCACAAACGCTACGACCTGCGCCCCGACGAAAGGCACGGCGTCCACAACCTTTGCGCGGTGCGCCCCCCAAAGCTCGAGCACCGTCGCCGCGGCGCCGCTCTCCAGCGCCTGCACGAGCGCGCGCGCGACGATTTTCGCCATGGCGCGCACCTCCTCCGCCATGGCCAGCAGCTCTGCCATGAGAAAGGCCTCAAACTCGTCCGCGCCATCCGCGCCGTCCTCCTCCCTTCCGGCGGCGCGCGGCGGCGCAGGCGGGCCGACGCGCAGCAGGAAGGCCAGCAGCACGTCGGCCGAGTCGCC